ATAAAATAAATACTGTCATTTAAAAAACAAAATATGAAATTTGGACATTTTTAAAACTAACAACCTTTAAGGAGTTTTAAATTATTTAAATGTGTTATTTGTTTTATTTCAGGTTGAGATACTTAAATATTGAAAAATATTTAAGCTAAAGAGTAAATTAATCGTGTTTCTTGGAACTTTTACACAATTAAATTACCCCCATTAATACACACAATAATACAAAATAATTAGTTCTTTACCAGAAGCTGCTTCATATTTGTTAGAAATTCTAGATGCTGTTTTAGTTTGAAGGGCTTCAGTGCTTTGTTGAATAGTTAGTCTCATGCCTGAACACAGTTGATAAAGTCTACATTATGTTTATGAACAATTTTGGTCTTTTTGATAAGTTTTCTTCATTTTTTGTCTTCAGCTTTCTGTTTAAAATATGTTGCTAACTTCTGCTAGCAACAGACCAAGGCAAGTAGGGGTCTCTGCAGTACATCGGGGGAATTTCTTGTTGTGTGGGCGGAGTTTGTCCTAACCGTGATTGGTCAGATTGACTTGTCTTTTGGGGCAACTTAAGACAAAGTAATGACAATAGTAAAATTATTGTGAACATAAAAATATGATTTATTGTCTATATACCGTTTAAAACAGAACAATGACTCAAATAAAAATTATCGTGAACATGTAAAAATAATTTATTGATTCAAATTTCATGCGTCAAGCACCTTCCTGTCTCAAAGTCAAGTCAGTATTAAGTCAAATTCATTTTTTTAGTGATCTTTTAGTTTGGTTTGGGAAGTTTTGAGTCAAATTGTTACACCCTCCTTCACATGTACGATGCTCAAATTTTGTGCAGCTAGCACCTTCCTGTTTCAAGTTATGACTAAAATTATTATTTGTATATAAAATAAAAATACAGGCGCTTCCTGGCTGTTTCGACCAAGCTGCTCCCCGTTTCTTCAAAGCCCACCATCCATCCAGCCAATCACATCTTTAACAAACTACACCCACAAAAGCCAGACAAACTACACCCACAAAAGAAACTCCTACTGCAGAGAGCCCCATCTCAGCCATAGTGGCTCTTCTACGTATTAAAAAAAGTTTGTACTAGTGGTGAGAAAGTATGTAGTGACTCAGCTGAAAACCAGTGACCTCACATGGTCCACAGCTGTGAGGCCTTCAAGGTGGCGATCACGACACAATTGTGGGTCGCGGCCCAAGGGCTGAGAATCTCTGCCCTAAGGAACACTAATGATCATAAAGTTAAAAGACCTTCTGAGGATTAATCAGTCATCCTCTGTTTGCCAACGTACCATTAGACACCTGTAAATACCTTTATGTATCTAATATTTTGATGTGTTTTCTCTTCCTTTCTAGGTAGAGGAAAGTGAAAATGAATGGTCGGTGCCGCACTGTTTCACCATTTATTCTGCTCAGAGGACGATTGTTGTGGCTGCCAGGTGAGCTGCGGAGAGAAAAATCACTTATTAGAAACGTCTTTTGATGTAAACTGAAAGTGAGACAGTTTTATCTGCATGTTTATAAAACACTGGATGTTTAAGATTCTGTCATGCCAAGCAATATACATTCATTCAAGAGATGCTTTGTGTGTGTGTGTGTGTGTGTGTGTGTGTGTGTGTGTGTGTGTGTGTGTGTGTGTGTGTGTGTGTG